ATGCAAAATAAATGGAAAATAAAAAAAAATTATTTTCGGAACTTGAATTAACTAAAAAAAATTAGAAAAAAATAAAAAAATGTGTCTCACGGTCTTACAAAATATAAGTGGTCTCAAATGAACCTAACCCTATATATATATATATATATATATATATATATATATATATATATATATATATATATATATATATATATATATATATATATATATATATATATATATATAGGTTCAGGTTCATTTGAGACCATTCTAATTTTGTGAGACCATGAGACCAAATCTAAAAATAATTTTAAAATGCAAAATAAATGGAAAAATCCAAAAATTCTTTTTTTAAATATTATTTTCGGAACTTGAATTAACTAAAATAAATAAAAATAAAAAAAAAATCCCGTTTTTTTTTAAATACGTGAAATATTCTAAATAGAGTATTACACTGACATATTCTAAAAAATAGTTTTAAAATGCAAAATAGATGGAAAAATTTAAAAATTCTTTTTTTAAATATTATTTTCGGAACTTGAATTAACTAAAAAAAAATTCTAATTTTTTTTTGAAAAATACGTGAAATATTCTAAATAGAATATATTACACTGTACATATTCTAAAAATAATTTTAAAATGTAAAATAAATGGAAAAATAAAAAAAAAATTAAATATTATTTTCGGAACTTGAATTAACTAAAAAAAATTTAAAAAAATAAAAATAAACTAAAAAAAATAAAAAAAAATACGTCTTACGGTCTCACATGTGATTGAGCGTTTTAAAATGATATTCATGTAGTTATAAAAGTTTAAAAGGATATACCTTCCTAAAAATAATAAACTTCCCTGAACGAACTATTATTTCGAGTCTATTTTGCCACTTGCCGAAATGAAAAAGATGCGTGACAAAATAGGTTTACAAACCAATTTACTTGTTTATGCTAAATTGCCATAACAATCATTATAAAAACAAATACAGAATGCCTCTTTAATATTAAATGAATAGTCGAACATATTTGATATATCTCTGTCTATGTCGACCATCATTATAATTTAGCGAATTAAAAGATGTGTAATAATTTATTATCTTTACAGGCGTGTATTTTAATATATAGGAAGAAAAGGGGAATAAAAAGGGAATAAAAAATGAATAATAATAATAATGATTTATATACATCTGCATCTGAGGCAGCACCAAGAAGCTTGGAAACCGTCCTGTTTGGCTTTATTCCGATAGTCATAATTATAATTACTATTTTTTTTATTATTCTTTTTTATAAAATATGATCTCAAAGTACTTGGTTGTGGGCTTGTAGGGTCAATGTACCCCTTAATCCACGTCACAACCATGTGTCATTATTTGTCCATTCAATCCAAAGATTCCCCTACTTTATACACATGTAGATACATAGTATAGCGACACATAAAAAAATAAAAATAATATTTGACATCCTGAATTTAATGAAATTAATCTGACAAAAAAGATATGCAAATCATATGTGTGAATAAGGTTTGTTTATTGATAAATAAGAGAATGATAAAGGAAAAAAAATATATGAATTTCATGTGATTTGCAATAGCTTGCAATTTGTCGGGAGTTTTGATGTTCGTTCGATATGGATAGAATTTATAACAAACTAACGAAGGAGATTTGAACCTACTGTTGTCCGGAATTATAATGGAATTACAATGTTTCAACATTAATTATTGATTTCTTCCAAATGTAACAAAATATTTCATATTATAAAGTATCGATTTAGTTATTTAAAAAATGGTTTTCATTTAAGAATTTTAATTTTTTTTCTTTTTGACTCATATATAAAATCATAAAATCATAAGGCATTATACTCCCTCATTCCTTCTAATGGTTTCACTTGGGATTGGATACAAGCCCCAAATGATGGGATAACTCTATACGAGTTATGGCAACTATACTTATGTATTGGCTCGATGGACATTCCCTCACAATCCCTTTCGGTTTTAGATTCATGTTAAATCCAGATGGCCGTTATACTGTCAACACGATGAGGAGATTCATAGATGCGAAAATTCATCCATATCGGGGTCCCTTAATCTCCTGGGACAAAATGGTGCCATTAAAAATCAGGTGCTTTATTTGGCGGGCTATGCTGTATCGAATTCCTGTTGTCACATCACTGGTTGAAAGAGGCATATCAGTATCTAATCATCTGTGCAAGCTATGTAACATTGAACCTGAAACGGCTGACCATCTTTTAGTTAATTGTGAATTCGCAAGAGGTGTTCGCGAATGGATCTTCAAATGGTGTGGGATAAACACGCAACACTTCTCTAACATTAGGGAGCTCATTGATTTCGTAACATCTTGGGGTAATAGTCCAAGGGAAAGATCAATCTTCAACTCCATAGTATATTGCTTACTTTGGCATATATGGATCTCAAGGAATGACAAATTATTCAATCAATTGAGAATCCCTCCCACTAAGACGGCACACAATGTTATTTCCGTATCCTATTTATGGTGCAAACATAGAAGTAGTTTCAGGTGTGGGAGTTGGGTGGAATGGAGTATCTCCCCATTTTCTCATTTTCATTCTAATATGTAATTCGGTTTTGTATTTTTGTACTTTGCACCTTAGTTTCTTGCTAAGTGTTGTTTGTTTAATATATATATATATATATATATATATATATATATATATATATATATATATATATATATATATATATATATATATATATATATATATATCTTTTGCTGTTCAAAAAAAAAAGTGACCCCAACCCATATCTATATATCTACTAGGTTAAAACCCGTGGAACCCACGGGTGTTGTTTTTGAATTGAATTTAAAAATTAATTATTTAATAAAATATTATATCAATAATTCTGATAACTTATAAATTGTCATATTGAATATTTAAATAATTTTTTTATTGGTAATTATTTAATTACTAACTAAATGGGAAGTATTTAATTAGGAATGAAGATTTTTGAAAACTATTTTTTTTTATTCATCATTCTAATTGGACATATGCAGATGATACAATACCAATGTGTGTAATGAAATTAACATAAAATACAACAATACGTAATTATAAAAAAATACAGTAATATGATGGATTAAGTGTGATTTCCTAAAATTGAATAAAACAACGTTACAAAAAAGTTGGCTACAAATTTCGAAAAACTTCCTTATTAACAACATTGGAAGTTTTATTTCTGAGTTTGTCATCTTTATCTAAAATTAATAATTTTAATCCCTCTCTACTCTGAACTCTAGATAAGGCAACATACAATTGTCCATGTGAAAAAACTGGATCTTTCAGAAACAGACCAACCTTTGACAACGATTGTCCTTGACTTTTGTTAATAGTCATTGCAAAACATACAGCCAAAGGAAACTGTCTTCTTGTGAATTTGAAGGGAATCTTTTTTTCTGATGGAGTTAAAGACATTCTTGGAATAAAAGTCCGATTTCCAATATTAGTTCCAGTTATTATACGTGCCTCAATAACACGTTTGCCCAATGATAACACCTGTAGTCTTGTGCCATTACATAAGCCGTTTTTCTGATCAATATTTCTCAGTAACATTACTGGAACACCAATTTTTAAAACTAATTTATGATTTGGTAAACCGGATACTTTGAGTCCATTTAATACATCAGGAGAGTATAGATTTGCATCAAATTGATCATGGAGAAAGTCGGATTCACATATGCAGTCTGAACTTAAATATTCAACTTGATCTCCTGGAAACTTCTTAAGTAAACGGTCGTTTATTTCCTGGACAACTTCATTTTTTGGAGCAAGTATCGCTCTTTCTTGGAAATAATTTATATTGCTATAGTACTCTAAAATTGAAGGATATACAAACTCAATTAAGGAACCTATAGGATCATGTGAATCATTAATGAGAATATCATCCGGAATATCGATAATCGTTTCACCGTCGTTCGGACCACCAAGTTTTCCTTCTCCTATATCCAACAACCAATTTGCAAAATCTCTTATTTTTCCTATATCTGATTGATCCCTTCCAACAGTTAGCCTCATGTTTTTTGTTAATCTATGGACTTTGCAATGTTCCCATAAATATGAAGAACTCAAAGAAGCATTTACAATGTTCTGTCTACTGCCACCCGGCACAACAGGTAGAATTTGTCTTAATTGTTAATTGCGATATATGAAATACTTATCAAGTTAGGGGCAATATGGTCATTTTGAAGTAAAAGAAGCCTTGGTTATTAAATGAATCATACGAAGGATCTGTTATTTGATTTTGGAATTGGGGCGAATAATCGAACCATTTGGAGTTGCGAATTTGATTTTGAAAAGCCAATCAGTTGGGTTCGCATATAAAACAGATAAGTTTTGATTTTGGATTAGCAATTGGGTTAATTGGTTTATTGATTGAGGGACGATTCGTGAAGAAAAATGCGAAGTCAAGAAGGACTGTGAAATGTGATTTGTTCAATATTGTAGTCAAATGCAGTTCACGTGTAAAAGCAAAAAAGTTCGCATTTGGTAATACAAATCAAAATTGGGTTTCGCATATGAGGTTGTATGGATTGGGGTTAAAGATACGAAGGTGATTATGGTTAATATTCATTTCGTATTTGGTGAGACAAACAACTCAAATGCGAATGAACTAAAAAAAAATGACTGGAACATGCAAAGAAAGAGGGTGAATGAAGAATGTGAATTTTACAGTAGAATGCGAATTGGGGAAGAAAGCTAAGAATTTCGCATTTTTCTTATACAAATTGATTGATTGATTGATTTGTCTTAATTGTTAATTGCGATATATGAAATACTTATCAAGTTAGGGGCAATATATTTTATTTGAGTTATAACCAAAATCAACTAACTTGTCCAATTTAAAACAATAAAAGTATCCAAAAATATTCAAAACCAATAATATTTGACATCCTAAATACCCCAAAATAAAAATCATACCAAGCAATTAAAATATCTTTATAACCAAAACAAATGATCAAAATATATTAAATGTGTCTTATAACTGATAGAAACTCACTTTTCAATTTTTGGAATTAAGAGTGGAATTTCCTCTGCGGTTGACTTTCTTTTAGCATTAGTTGAACTTAAATCATATCCAGAATCAACATCATAAATTTCTTGGAGGTTGCGCTTCAAATCACCTGATATTTTGCAAGGACTTGTTGCGGTTGACTTATCAACTGTTGAGGGTGTAAAACTTTCGTCTGTTTGTGAGATCACATCCTAATTTTAAAAAAAAAATGTTTGATTCCTAAAAAAAATAACTAATATAATTAAAAGTTTATAAAATAAAATGAAAAACCTTTTGAACAGGCTGTACAACATCATCGGATTCCAAAGCAACTTGATTTAAGGAGACAGATTGAATACTCTAAAAAATAAAATGGAAATATGTTAATCGTTATGTACTTTAACATTAAAGAATTGTAAATTTTCAACAATAAAAAATTACATACCATAAGTTCTATTTTACTTTCCAATTCACAAACAATGGACATATCTTCTGTAACTCTGAGAACTGTGTAGATGTTATTATAGTTGTTGACATTGTATTCTGTAATATCTACAACAAAACCAAACTTGCGGTTTTTCAACACGTTAAGTTGCATTGGAAATAGGGCATCACTGTCTCCGGCCTGTAAGATATATTTTAATAAATTAAAAAAATTAAGTAAATGTTTTCTGATTTTAAAGGTATGAATAATATACCGCATCATGTATCTTTTTCAACTCGTAGGCACTTATATTTAACAACCTCCTTGCTTCCCTATCAAAAAGAGTCAATCCAATGGTTCCAGTACAATCTTGTACGTTAATTGGAATTATATACCTAAAACAAAAAATAATTATGTCATTGTTAGTGTTGTTTTAAGATTGACAAAATTAATAGAAATAAATATGTCTATACTTTATAACTGACTGAAATTCAGATTTTTTGCATTGTGCATTTGTACACTCGACAACCATAGTTTCTGAAATTCCCTCAGGGTTGGTATACGAATGATTGGTTTTGGGAACAGGGATAATTTTTTTTCCACATTTTTTGCATGCTTCATAATACCATGGTAGAGTCTGCCTTATATTAACAATGGAAGCAACTAATAAAAACTTCATTTCCTGTATCATATCAAATGTAAAAATTATTAAAATAAATTATGCAAAAATAAAATGTAAAACATATAAAATAATGCAATATACCTTAATTGGTTCGGTGATCTCACAGATTGTTTTTAATGGAAAATTGCCCTTAAAGTCATCTGTATATGAAGAAGAGTAGCTTTGAAGTGTAGTTATGCTTTTTTCAGTTATACCGAAATTGTCATGACATTTCAACCTGTAATGTTTAATTTAGATTCATGAATATTAGGTTTTGTGTTTTTTTTAAGTTAAAATACATTATAAAAAAATAAAAAACAATTGGAAACTAACTTATTTTTAAACTCATTTATTTCATAAATGTCAGAATTTATGAACAATTTCGTTACTTCAAAATGACTTTTAGCTTCACCATGACCTGTAAAAAATGTATATCCAATTATTAAAATTTATATAAAAACAGTAATTATAAACATCTATATATAAAGACTGAATACAAACCATTCCAAATGTTTATCTTCAAAAACTGCATCACGATAACAACAAAATTAACAGTCGGGTTACTTTTTAGGTATTCTGAAATTTGATATGCTTGACTTCCAAAAATAGTAACCTTCAGATGTACAGAACTAAATAAACCATAAAATAGTATATTAATATTAATTTGTGATTAATTAAAGATAATAAATAATAAATAAATAATACAATATAATCTCACTCTAGGTTGCTAAGAGTGACTTTTATATAATGCTTGGATGGTACTGGATTTGAAGTTTCAAGAGGCCTAAATGACACGATATGTCCAATAACATCTACACAACAGATACCACAAAAAAATAAAAGTTTAGGATTAAATTCGTAATATTTAAATAATAAAATGTATAACCAAAAAAACAAATGATAAAAAATGATTTTATTAATATTTTATGACTAACCAAAGAATGTGTCTTTTGGGCATGTTTGTTCTATGATAGAATTAAAGTCAACAAACATAAATCCATTGACCGGACCCGAGAAATCATCACATTTTTTTAGGATGCTTTTCCAATCCAAAGTTAAGGTCTGTTTATGACCTGTATAACTAAAAATCATTAGTAACAGCAGCCATATTGGGTTTTATAACTATATAACTTTCATCTTCCTTTAAAAGATGACGAAATCTGGAGAAATTCTGATTGAAGACACGAGCTTGGTATTGTGTACCCTGTTTAAAAAAAAATTAAAAATTATTATGTTCATGAAACATGTCTAATATTGAATGATGAATAAAAAATATATCAAATACAACAAACCTCCTCATCCATGATGATCATTTCAATGGAACAAACTTTATTATTTCTGACAAAGTTCCAAATTTTAAGCACCCGAACCTTGATATGCGATTTTTCATCTATCTGGTCAATGTTATTTAGGTAAACCTTATTTCCTATTTCCATTTTCTGCAATAAATTTAATCATTATAGAATTGTAAGGAAAATTAGCAACCTTTTAAAATGTACAGAACATCCTAACCAATAAGTAAAACAGAAAAATTATAAATCAACACATGACAATAACAACTGACTTAATGTACTCATAAATTTTTAAATTGAATAATTCATTTTATAATAAAATGGAATACAAACAAAAACAAATAATTCATATGAAATAATGTTTTAGATTGAATAAAAGTTTATATAATAAGATGGAACACAAATATATAATAAACATGAAAACGACAATTATACCGAAAATGCCCCTGCAACATACTAACACTAACAGATAACATAACAATGAGTAAAACAGAAAAATTAAAAATCAACACATGACAATAACAACTGACTTAATGTACTCATAAATTTTAAAATTCTAAATTTTTTTGAGATTGTATTTAGATAAAAACAAACAAATTTTAAAATTTCATACCATAAAAAAAAGTTACTGTTCACATCTGAAAAAGACTATTTTTAATTTTTTTTAAAGAAAATGAACTTGTAATGTTCATTAGTTTTTCGTCTTTTAAACTGAAAAGGTAGAAGAAGTAGACGATTAAGAAGAATTACAAAAAAGAAGAAGAATAGAAATCATACAATGAGAACGTGATAGATACAGATAAATAAGAACATGGAGGAAATAGAAATATTGGTAATTCTGATTTTTGAATACACTAACTTGATATTTAATTCTTGAAGCGTTGCAGAATAACAAAGAATGAAGAAGAATACGTTTGCTGTGGTTTCTATGGAGCATAATTGTTATGGAGCAGAATGGTAAAAAAAAAAATAACCGTATAAATGATATTTACGTTTGCTGAAAAATACTGCAGATTTTTAGGGATTTAATGATTGCAATATATTGAATTTGCAATCAAAATAAACAAACTTTCAAATTTAATCGTGATTTTCGAATCTGATTATTCATTAACATATTTTTTCAAATTATTTCCATAATCTTTATTCATTTAAAATTAATGCATGAATATTTTGAATGCAGTTGACAGCTAAAATTTCCTGATATATTGCAGCAGTTTGAACTTTTATTCAATTTTCGGATTCAATGGCATTTACGTAAATATAGAAGAAAAAATGAGCGGGAAAACTCTATTTTGGGGGGCTGGGAGAATGCCACGTGGCCGAGTTCTACTTATTTGTTAGAATTAGGATATATTACTTATAAAAGTGACCGGCATCCTATATCTATAATTTTATATACTAGTCATTGGTATTGTGATTAATGATAAAAATATAACTAAAAATCTATATATATATATATATATATATATATATATATATATATATATATATATATATATATATATATATATATATATATATATTTGAGACCATTATATTTTGTGAGATATAAGGACGTAATACTAACCATTCATTTTGGAAATAAAAAAAATATTTTTAAAAAACAAAATATTTGAAAACTTTTGAATTTTTTTAAAATATTATTTTCGTCATTTATATTTTCCAAAAAAAAAATTACCGTTTTTTTTGAAATATCTGTAAAAATATTCTAATAGAATATTATAGTATAAAAATTACAACAAATTTGTTAGAATATTCACATATTCTACTAAAATATTAGACTACAAATATTCAAATAATTTTAATAAAATATTATAATATTCTACTATAACATCCCAAAAATCACATCAAATTTAAAATTTTAAAAACAACCCAAAATCATAAAATGTTTACAAGATCATTGTTTTCAAATTTTTTATCCATATCACACTATCCCAAAATCATAAAGCCATAAACACGGGATGCATATGGTCACACAATCGTCTTCCCGCGATCATCAGAAGTACCTGAAACAACAACTAAAAACCGTAAGTCAGAGCTTAGTGAGTTCCCTTAAAGTACCACCAGATACAACATATCAAACAAAGACATGCATAACCGAGCCTTCAGCCTGGATGGACCGCCTTGCAGGGCCTATAACCTATTTTCACCGCCTCGCAGGGCCTACAGTCTATAGGGTTTCTGCATCCAGGGTGCATCGTGATTGTGTATTAGAGATTTTCGGGGGTCCCTATCCGATATATTTGATCCCTATCTCTATGGGGGGATGTGTGCGTGATAGTAAAGATGGATTGATCGGTTATGAGGGTCAGCGGGTGGTAGTTCGAACCCCAAGTTGGGTAAAACTAGTTATCTATGGAGAGCGTGCCAAGGTTGGTTCAGGGTTTTGTTCGGCAGCCAAGGCCCGACATTATAGTCAGCATGGTTGTGTGGGTTATCTGGCTTATATGGTTGATACTCAAGTTAGGGACCAGACTTCACTTTAAAAGGTACTAGTTGTCGGGGAGTTTGCCAATGTTTTCCTGGAGGAGTTACCCGATGTTCCTCCCGAGAGGCAGGTTGAGTTTAGTATTGATTTAGTGTCAGGTGTGGCTCCGATTGCCAAGGCGCCATACTACTTGGCACCAGCTGAGATGCAAGAGTTGTCCTCTCAGCTCCAGGAGCTGTTAGGCAAGCAGTTCATCAGACCAAGCAGTTCGTCATAGGGAGCGCTAATACTATTCGTCAAGAAGAATGACGGTTCACACCGAATGTGCATTGATTATCAGGAGTCGAACAAGTTAACGGTGAAGAACGTGATCCATTTTTGCATATTAATGACCTATTTGATCGTTTGCATGGTGCATCTTGGTTCTCCAATATCGATCTAAGGTCCGGGTATCATCAGGTGAGATTGAGAGAGGAGGACATGGGTATGACCACGTTTCGGACTCATTATGGGCATTACAAGTTCGTGGTGATGCCATTTTGGGTTCGCCAATGCATCTGCTGTGTTTATAGATTTGATGAATCGGGTGTGCAGGTTGATGCTTGACAAATCTATCATTGTATTTATTGATGATATTTTGGTGTATTCCAAGGCTAAAGAACAACATAAGGAGCACCTTCGAGAGCTTTTGAGGGTGTTGAGGCGGGAACGACTATATGCCACGATCTCGAAGTGTGAGTTTTGTTTACGAGAGGTCCAGTTCCTAGGACATCTCGTTAACCAAGATGAGATTTTGGTCGATCCCGCCAAAATCGAGGTTGTGACGCAGTGGGAGGTCCCGAGATCTCCCTTAGAGATCAGGAGTTTCTTGGGTTTAGTGGGATACTATTGGAGATTTATTCAAGATTTCTCCAAGATTAAATTACCCCTCACTCGTCTGATTAGGAAGGTAGGGGATTTTTGATGGGGCCTTAAGCAACAATCGACATTTGAGACTCTTCGGTGGAGGTTGTGTGAGGCCCCGATATTGACCCTTCCGGAGGGAGTCGAGGATTTTGTGGTATTCTGTGATGCATCCATCACCAGTTTGAGAGTAGTCCTTATGCAAAGAGGATGAATGATGGCTTATGCTTCGCAACAGATGAAGTCACATGAAACACAATATCCTACTCATGACCTGGAGTTGGGGGCAGTGGTGTTTGCGCTTAATATTTGGAGACATTATCTGGAACGTTCGTTTCAGGTATCAATTACTTTTCAGAATTTTAGGGCTTTAGACTGGAACTTGACGAGTTGGGGAGCTCCAACTCGTCGAGTAAAGATCACCAGTGGGACACGGAATTTAGGACCTTCCCAACGAGTTGGAAGGCCCAACTCGACGAGTAGGCGCTCTAAAGCAAAACCCTAATTTTTAAGGTTTTCACCCTATATAATCTCCTTAAAACCTTTAAGGCTGACCTTCCATCAGCCTCCAAACCATAAGAACGTCTG